CACGGTTCGAATCCCGCTGTGGGTGTTGATATGATCGATGCGAGGTCGAAACTGCAGTCCATCCTAGATGAGAAAAATTTTGGGGAAAGCAAGGCTATGTGAAATTCAATAGAAACGTCAACTCTACTTATATCATTGTGGGGAAATTCTACTACCAGTCCTTGACCAACTTAAATGAAATAGGGTGAGTACATATCATATGTTTTAACCTTAGTCCATTACTTTAGGGCATTTCAAATACACACAACGGCAGGGTAATTTTCACTCTTAAGTGTTGTCTGTCACATTTAGGTAACTCTTCTCAGCATTTGTAATTACATGAAACCTTTACCTCATTACCTACAGGTCCTGTATATGACAAATATATTACGGTAGCTTATGTGGAGTTAGACATTCAGCGCAAAAAATAATTCTACCCCTCGAAATCGTAATTTTTCAACTTTAGTAATTCCACTAGCATCCTTGCTCTAATGTGAATTTTGATGAATTTTCCTCGTCTTATAAAATTTCTATCTATAGATATCACTCATGGATATGCTTATACCTTTGAATTTTGTTTTTGCAGGCATTCCAAATTATTCCTTTTTAGACCACATTTTTATACGAGTGCATACTTTAAGAATAAGTTTTGTAAGTCTATATTAATCAGTTCACGATAAGCTAAGGTAATGATAAATTAACAAATCCTTGCTTATATATTCGTACTACTCAGCTTTTATTAATTTTCTATAAAATCATCCTTTTGTAATTACTTTTATGAATAACATGACTTAGTGTAATATCTGTTAATTCTTGACCTGCTTATATTCAAAGCTCTTACGTCGAAATTCCGGTCTTTTTGCTGGAAAAGATGGTTTCATCACTCTGCGTGATCTCTTCCGATGGGCTGAGCGGTATCGACGCGCCAACTTCGATGATGAACTTATTTTTGAAAGCCAACGTTCTACTTCCAAGTTCTACCCATCGAACCATTCTAAAAATGGAACCATCGGAGTCACTCTCTTTGATTGGGATGCTTTTCTTGCAGAACAGGGCTATCTACTATTGGCAGGACGCGTGCGCCGACCCGAAGAGGCGCGTGTTGTTGCCGAAGTAATTGAAAAAGTGTTCCGTCGTCCGATCGACGAAGAAAAGTAAATAATATATATTTATACGTACTATCGTAAAATTCTTTGAGCCCTGATTATTGTTACAAATTTAGCCAGGACCCGATCTTAATGAGCCTATGGAAACTGCTATACCAGAAATTGCACATATACAAGTATAATGAAATTATCTTTGGATTATTACATACAACAAAAGAAACTGCATTACCAACTTACTTACTTGTAGTCTTGGCTTTTAAGATATTTAAATTGTTCAATCCCATATTAGCTTTATAGTCTATATACATATCATTTTTCTCAATCAGTTTTTAAAATAGAGTACATTCATTTTTAAGGAAGGTTTTTTTACCCCCTTATTAGGAGATTATTTTAACAAAATAATTTGACTGGCTATGTATCAAACCGAAAGTCTAGTACGAAACGAAGGCTTGCTCGTTATGAAAATTTTAAAATCACTTGACCACTAATATATTTTAGTTGTTAACAGCATTTGCTTTAACTCTGAGATTTTATCCATTTATCTTAGGGAGTAACTTAGCCTGGCGATGAAATTTACCCATCAGGATTTCGTGGTGGTCAAAATGTTAAATTTATATTTAATTTGCATGAACTGTCCACAATATAATTGCAGTTTGCATTGAATAAGATTTTTTTTCTCAAATTCAAAAGCCGCGTATTTTTATTATAAACACTTTTATTTCCTATCATTAAAATATCACTTCTCAGGCTTTTCGATCTCACAGATCATACCTCTCCATCCACTCGCCATCTTCTTGAAATGGTTATGGATTCTTCTTCACTCGCCAAGGAGCAGGACTCCTCTAATCTTGACAGTGTTGTTTGGACTCGAGATGCCCGTCGTCTATTCGTCCTAATCGGAACCGCAATTAAATATTCTGAACCAGTTCTTATTGTCGGCGAAACGGGGTATTCTTTATATTTGTCCTTAACATTGTTATCTACTTTTCTACATATTTATACATAATAATTCACAAATCAATTAATATTGACTATTATTGGCCCGAAAAAGTAAGCAATTTACAAATATATGTGAAATGGATAACATATTTTTATACTAGTTTTTTTATATCTCATGAAGCATACTCTAATTGTTCTAATACACACCAAAATTCATATGAAATCAACCAGTATTTTTTTAAGGTAATGAATGACTGGCATCAGACAGTGGACTTGGTACATTCTCAAACGTTTCGCCGGCATCGTAGTAGGCATCACCAGTGAGTCTTGCCATCATACTGTGACAACATAAGGAAGCGGAATATTAGGGAGGTCATTGATATACTTGGGGAGAAAAATCTAATGAACAGGAGATTGGAGGGAGTTAAAGTTAGCGATAACTTTGCCTACTGCCTAAGCAAACTCGGGGAAAATAAGAATAGAGCAAGACCAGCATAAAGGAGACGCCTGGATCAAGGATCTACCGTTAATTGGAGGAAAATGGATCGAAATGAAGAAAGTGGGGGAAAGGGGTTTTCGGCAATAAAGCGAGGACGTCGTCAGCCAACGATGTCCGTTTTGAATAAACCAGTACAACTTTGGGGGCCTGGCAGTCAGGGCGCTGGACACACGATTAAGCAGACCGTCTCGTAAATTCGGGGTTATTGCAAAAATGTACTTTAAATCCATTTGAAATGCCACATGAGACAAGAGATAGGCGCCCACACTTTGCTTAGATAACATGGGTTTGATCAAGGAGAGGACCTGTGAAGGGAAGGCCTGATATCTGCAAGCATGGGAATCACAGCTTATGCGCTCTGCTTAGTGAAGCGGCAGTGTATGTGCTTATAGGACCTTGCAGTCAAATGCATCCAGGGGCTGAAACCGAGTGAAATTGGTCAACCAGAAAGATAAAGCCGATGGAAAGAGAAGGGTCTGGGTAAATAGCAAGTGTGATGAGGCCACACTAGATTTACCACAAAAGGGCACAAATTTTGACGAGTGGAGTGCAAACAAGTGAGCAGTTGTGATAAGAGGCTAAAGAGTTGATAGATAGACAATGACAGAAAGAAAAGTGATAGTGTAACCGTTTTCGGCAGAGCGTTTGTTGAGGGATTGACTTTACTTGTCTCTTCGACGAGTTCGTAGCTTGGTGCGGAAAATGACAAAACTTACTGATGATGCCCACTATGATGCCTGCGAAACGTTTGAGAATGTATTAAGTCACCTGTCTGATGCTGGCAATCAAAACAACTACTATGGCAGACGACTTAGGACTAGGTGCGTTCTACTAAGTCCCCCTGACAACAATACCAAGTTGCGATAACGAGGTCAACCTACTTCTATAACATTATTTGGTCTCATCTTTTCTATCGGACAGGTCTCATTGTATAATTCTTCAAAAGGGATTTTGATCATTTTAAATTTACTTACTGTCGGGTGTGCGATAATCATTTCCCATTTGAAAGCAAGCCTATAGGCAAATTAATGGAAAATTAAGTTAGAAAATTCATCTTCTTGTTTCCTTATCACCTTACACGAAATAGGGTAAATACATCTCATATATCCAAAATTACATAGCAAATAAGAAAATAGGGATTGATTTAATTTTACCTAAGACCTCTCGAGAATTTAAAAGCAGACTACTTGACCTCAATCTATGCTATTTAGTGTTCAATTTCACTTGCTAATTACCTTTTTCATAACGAGTATTATTGGCATTTTGATATTGAAACTATAATATGCATATAGAGCCTATCTATCTTTTTCAAAAAATTCCTATCTATACTATATTCCTTGACTTTAGTTTTATGTTTAATTGGTTTAGCTGGTATATTATACACCCTTAATTGCTCTTATTAGATTTTACCTTATTTCTATACATGATATTAAAGGAATGTAACACATACAAAATTATAGAGGTTAATTGATCTTGTTTTCGCAATTTGGTCTTATTGGTAGGAATACTTAGTGGAGCGCATTTAGTCCGGAGTCCATTATATGCAGGATAATTTCCAAAGTCTGACCGTAGACGTGGTACATTCCCAGACGTTTCGCCGGCACAAGTGAGTCTTGCCATTCTGAGAATCATATTACAACTCGTCAAAGAGACAGATGAAGCCTATCTTTTCACCAAATGTGTGCATCTTTCCTGTCCTAGGCTATTCACCTATCCCATGTCTTCATATCATGCATTCACTATCATAATTTTTTCATTGATTATTTAAATATAGTGTGGTGTGCCCTTTTGAGCAGCTTTCATGTGAACCCTCCATACCTTATGCTGGGAATGTTGATCAGAGTCTGCTATATTGTTACGCAGTCCTCCTTCCCTAGGTGTTATCACAGTCTCGCTCTTGCTCCGTAAGATCCGTCTGCTCTCTACCTGGTTCATGTATTTCACTCGACCCCTGCCACCCCAACTGTGCTACTTGAGTCGTTATTCGCCCTCCTTTGCGTCTAGGTGACTAATTCGAGGCTAAAGTCTCTGAGTAATTCTCATGGTCAAGCCTTTGCTACATGAAGATATGAAGACTAAGATGTTGTGACCTCTATTATGGTCGCAGTCTCCTTTCGATTTATAGAAGTAGTTGACCTCGTTGTCGCAACTTGGTCTTGTGTGCGTTCTACATAGTCTCCCTGAGCACAAGACCAAGTTGCGACAACGAGGTCAACCCACTTCTTTGCTACATGGTCCATGTAAACATTGGACCTAATCAAAGCAAGCAGTACCACAACATTTGTGGGTTCGCGCACAAGATACTTTGGCATAGCTAGTCATAGACTTGGTATTAGGGATAGAAACAGAATAGACGCGGCGGAGACTGGAGCTAGTTGGCTGACAGTAGGCCTGTTTACCATAGACGTGGTCCATGTAGGAAAGGCTTGACGATGAGAATTACTTAGAGTCTTTAGCCTCGAATTAGTCACCTAGACGCAGTAAAATTGGTAATTACGCATCGAGTAGCAGAGATGGGGTGGCAGGGGTCGAGTGAAATACTTGAACCAGGGAGATAGCAGACGGATTTTACGGGGCAAGAGGGAGACTGATAAGACCTAGGGAAGGAGGACGGCAGACTCTTATCAACATTCCCAGCACAAGGGTGAAGGTAGGGGAGAGAACGCCAGTGGAGTGTGGAGGGTTCTCTTGAAAGCTGCTCAAAAGGGCACACCACACAACATTTGAATAATCAAAGAAAAATTGTGATAGACATAGGATTGGTGACAAGGCCCAGGACAAAAGGATAGATACAACAACTGTTTAGCACACATTTGGTCAAAAGTTCGGCTTCACCTGTCTCTTTGACGATTTGTAGGATGGTGCCGAGAATGGCACTCACTGAATTTGTCGCCGAAACGTCTGGGAATGTACCGCGTCCATAGTTCGACTTTGAAAAATATTCTGCATACAATGAACTCCGTACTAGGTTCGTTCCTCTAAGTCTTCCTACCAATATGACCATATTGCGAAAACAATGTCAAACAACTTCTATACAACCAAAGGAGATCGCGGTCATATTAAAGACCACACCATCCTGCTCTTCGATAATTTTTACATTA